CTTTCAATACTAAATGATTCCCTTTATTTTAGTACTCAAAGAGAATTATATGAAATCCCATCAGTATCTTAAATGAACCAAGATACATAAATTTTAAAATTCTTAAAATTTTATTAAATATTTTTTCTTTGAGATTTTAAAATTTTCATGCATTGCCACAATTAGGCTATCAATAATATGCATAATAGACACATATAATTATTCCTTGAAGATAATTAATTACCAACAAAATCTATTATAAAACCAATGATTTAACCTTAAATTATATGTCATGAGTTATACTCAAATTTTAATTCCATAAAACCTCTTTATAGAATTTATATGCTATAACTCACATATGAAAACAAATAACTTTATCTTAAATAAAATATTAATATGAGTAAAATCATACTTAGTTACCTTGTATGGTTGTATATTTGTATTTTGCCTTGATACAACTTGATGAATCTTTGAAACTATAATTCTCAACATTCCTTGGTGCACCTTTAATACATATTTTCTGAAAATTTTCTTAACTTCCATAAAGTTAGTAGAAAATAACAATTATACTTTCTCTAAATGCATAATTAATTTGCATAGTTAGTTTATTAGCAACTGTAAATATATTCTTTATATCCAAATATGGATACTTTATTTCCTTATTAGAAAACACAATGTTAGGAAACCCATATGCTAAACCACAAATGAAGGTAAGTAATCTTTAACAAAAAAATAAAGTTTCATAATTATCTACTCATTTATCTATAACCATAAATTTTTTTATTAATAGTTAAACTTAAAAACTTTGTAAATGAGTAGTACAACCAATTTTAAGAACTTTAATCCAAGGATATTACATTATACAAATAATGGGTATATAAAGTCACGTACCTCCAATTGTGACTAATTGCTTGAACAAAATCCTGAAATTTAATTTTCAAGAAGAATATATCATGTGCATAATAATATTCACAAAATTACTTTAAACCAAAAACATGAAAAAAGATGTTTTATCAATAATTCATTTGCCACTAACGATATATCTTTAACCTCCAAATATTGACACATATTTTATGTGTTAAAATATGTGTCACACTTAATATTTATTTTAATTTAGATGAAATAAATTAATATATATTTATCATGTAAACAATTATCTTGATTTTATAAAATTAAACCACATAATAAATAGTTTTTATGCACATATAATCTAAAATAAGATTATATTAATAGACATTCTTCACATAGAATCTGATACATTGTGTATAAATTTCAATACACAATATCAAAAGATTTAAAACCACCAAATACTTAATTGCTGCAAATTACCTAAGTATTGACACCCTTATATTGTGTCAGATCTGCACAATAACTTCTAACTGGTTATGTGTCGACACCTTCACCCATTGTAAAAGAAACAAGTCCGTGTCGGACTTTTGGACCATTATG